AGGGTCTCACAATTTGATGGGTGGAGGGAGGGGGTGGGTAAAGGAAATGGGGAAAATTTTGTGTGAAAAACAGTGTATACGAACTTTGTAAGTAAACCAGAATAAAAGAAAAAAAATCTTAAAAAAATTTCAATTAAAGAAAAATATTTTTAATAAGAGACATGGATGAACTAAAAAAAATCTTTCCTGTGAAAAAAGTATGAATGGAAAGTGATATGATGATGCAGTCATATGGCTACACATAATTTTAAAAAGTGCCTTTAACACAAATTTACATTCTAACACACACACACACACACACACACACACACACATACACACACACACACACACACACACACGTGCGAATTGCATCATTGTGGATTAGCTACAAAGTGGATAATATTCTCTGGATTATTCAGAGCTGACTGTAAATAGTTTAACACAACCAGGATACTTGATCCAACCAGAAGGTAGTAAATCACTCACTTCTTACAGTCTTAGCATTAGTTTCAAGCTACTGTCAGACCATTTACTACATGAGGAGTAATTTCATTTTCCCAAGTTTCTTCCTAAGCAGTAGTTCATATATCTGATATGTGATTTTTAAATTTTCTCCAGATAAGACAAAGTATAAAGTTTGTGATTTGGTGATGAAGTGATTAAGTCCTTGTTCATTAAGTGTGAATAGATGAGGTGAAATCTTGATTGACAAGAAATAGCATTTTTCCTGAAAATCAGATGTCAGATAATTATGGATCGAAAAATAGAAAATTACATCTCCGGAAAGATGTCAGAGCCATATAAAGATATAGTAGCATGGTCTACATTTTGGACAGGTTACTTTAGAGCAAGCAGTTTTGATGTGAAACCTCTTTTATTGATAAATATTCTACTGGGGTTCCTGTGTGTATTAGGAAGCTATTTTTAATCAGATAATACCAATTGACTCTCAGTATTTATCTTGTTTTATATTGTTGGTCTTACATAACATCGTTAATTTTTAGGCCTTGGAGTGCTATTCATTAAATTAAGGCTATAGCCTACTAAATTAATAAGTTATTATGGTAAAAGACACTCTTGTCTTTTGAACGTACAAGTGCATTGCTTAAATTACTCTCAAGGAATAATTTACACATGAAGAGGCTCTGTAGTTAAAAAAACAACAACTCTGTGATTTCTTATCTTGGGAAATAGTTCTGGACTAGGTACTTAACTGATATCAAAACATTTTCTTTTTCCAAAGAGTAATGATTCTGATGATTCTAGGGTCCCCAGCACCCTGTTACATATCTCAAATTTACTATAACAGTGTAATATTTGAACTTGAAATTTTCATAAGAAAACTGGGGACAATTTCAGCTGAAAAAGGATGCTCAGGATCTTGAAAAGGCTTGAAGAGTCTAAATGTACATTGTGAGATTTCCCTCTCCCCTCTTTCCCTTTAGACAGTCACAATAAGGTGAACAGAGAAAATAATTTAGCTCAAGGAAAAGAAAATTGAGAATTGGCTGCTATTGCAAACGTGATTTGTTTGTTTGTTTTTTAAAGTGTTAAAAGATGAAATGAAGTACATAACTCCTGACTTCCAGTCTTGTCCCACTGTTTTTCTTGTCCCTGGGCTGTTTGTGTCAAATTTTATGCTGCATTTTTATGTGTGACACACACATCTCCTTCCCAAATTCGAGAACTAAGAAATTCAAAAGAAGGAGAAGAAGAAATACTTTTGGTGAAACCTTTCCCTCAGGCTGGGTTGTGGGCACTGTGACAGCAGCAATTCTGCCATTCTTCTATTCTTAGAGCCCAACTATGTGCCTGGCATTCAGAATGGGTGAAAAATGATATTTAGTGAATGAACATATGGAGGAAGTACATAGAAAAAGTACAACATTATGTGGAGGAATAAAAATCTTAATTATTCAGAGGGTAATTTTTGCAAAATGCCTTTTTAATGTCTGTCCCATTTTTAGTCCCCCCCCCCTTCTCCATGCATCTATCTTTTCCCTCCCTGCAAAATCCCTACAACAAAGGATGGGCAACAGCTAATTTTTTTTCATTGCCTTTTTTTTTTAGTTTGTGTATCAATAGTCTAAAAAGTATACAAGTTTACTGCTATTAAAAAGCATCACCTGCTCTTTAATCCCCTCTTATACTCCTGAAAAGCCCTCATTTTAGCCGAAATAGACAAAGCAACCTCAGCTTCCAAATGAAACAAAACATTGGAAAAGAAAAAGACTGTTGCCTAATAGTTGTGGTCCCGGAGGTTAGTGATCAGTCCTGACACCGTTCTCTTTTCTTTTTCATCACTCCTTTTATTTTGCATGAAGAGGTTAGCCACTTTTCTTTACTTCTCCCCAAGATTAGCCCCATACTATTTTGGTCAGATAGTTGTTCTTTGGGCAGAGGGTTTGATCATTTGTCGCTTCTAAGTTTGTCTTAAAGTTTATTTTCAATACATTTCCCTATAATTCCACTGCCAAGTGCCAAAAGGCCTGTTTTGCACATTTGCACTCATTTAAAGGGAGAAGATCTTTAGATATCCTGGACGAGGACTTAATCTACTGTTAGCTTGATCGGTGTTGACGAATTTATTTGCTTTTAGAGGTTATAACAAATTATATGCAACAAATTGAAAGACTAGCATAAATTCTTTCCCCCAAAAGTTTAACCTAGAGTATTTAGGATTATTTTTTCTATTCTTTCTCTGCTTCTGGTCTTTTTGTTGTGAAGAGGTCAGGTGAGGACGGTTCTGGAAGGGATATGAGCGCCATCTACTGTCTGAAGCTGTCCTTCCAGGGTCTGGACACTGGGGACCACCTTGCGCTAGATTTTTAAAGCTTTGAGAAATTACAAGATTTGGGTAAGTATCCTCTCTGAATCCAAGACTTACTTGGGGCTGCTAGAAGAAATCAGCATTTACAAGCACATAATTTAAAAAAGACGAGTTCTATTCCTCAGCACCGTTTCAGAGGGAATCCCCAAATAGCCCCCTTGGAATTTGGAGAGATTTAGACAAAACACTGAAATCAACTCAATTGAGAAATCCGACGGTGGTTCGCACCGGTAACCTGAGTTACACTTAGTGTTACAGTTTCGGAGGAAATATCTTTTACGAATCATGATACAACCAGAAAACCTTCTATCTCTAACCTTCCCCCTCCAGAGGACTTCTCTACAATTTGACTATTTTGTCAAAAGTTAATGAGGTAGGTCTCCCTTCATGTAGATACTGCACCAACAGCTGGTTCATCTGAATGAACACATAACGTTAAGATTCTCACACACACAGAGACACCTACAAAATGTTAGGCAGCTGTGGATATGGGTTTGAAGTGAGAAATCTTAGTCTTTGGGCTTGGCAGACAATTATTTCCCCTCTCAACTGTTGTGTCCATTATATTTTTATACTTAAAGAATAGAAGATTTGGAATTAATTTTCAGACAGGAATCTTCTTGGTGGTTCTTGGGAGTGAGAAGTAGGGGAAGTTAAGTATCCGACTGCCTGAGGTGGGCATTTGCTGGATTGGAAATGAAAGTTGATCCCCAGTGGTCCATTTTGATATCTACTATCTTTTGTAAGCCGCTGGGAAAAAGAAAAATCAATAGCCAGGACCCTGGGGCATCTCAGACCACGCCTGGGCTATTCCTCTCCCCCAAATCGATGGGCTAAGGTACTTCTCTTTCTTGGTATTACGAAGGAAAAAAAAAGAAAAGACGTAAGGAAGAAAAGTTGAGGCAGAAAGAGAAAGAAATGCAAGAAAGAAAAAGCAGAGGATGAAACTATAGGAAAGAACAGACTGGAAAGAAAAAGAGCAGGGAAAAGCGGGGATCTCAAAGGAGCGCAAGCCACACCCCTTGTCGCGTTCAAACCAATAGACTTGATCTCACCAGTTTCCTTTGTAAAGGAAAATAAATCTGTCAATTACTCCTTCCCCGCCCCACGCATGCAAACACAGCCCCAGTGGGGACGTTTGCGAGAGCAAGACGCTGGGAACACGCCTGTGACTGGTTTACACTCGGGAGCCTAACCGGATTAATACCCAGAGATGGATTACAGGGGCTGTCACCAATGCGCCTAAAGATTATAATCCAATTTTGCACATTGCAGTCAGTATTAACTTTATCTGCTATTTTAAGACTCCCAGTTGCCCCGCGCGTCCTCAGAGGACAGTCCGCGCGTTCTGATGCAACTGTCAGGAGGGGGAAACTCCCCAAGAAAACAATCCCTCACCTGGTCCCCGAGGGTCTGCACCCGGCCCTCCCAGGTGGCTCGCCTTCACCTGGCACCTGAAGCCTCCCAGCCTGGGTTTACTAGTGCATGAAGCGTTCCCTTGGAAGAAAACCTTGTTCTTTTCATTTTGCACTTTTGGTGGCGGTGACAGCAGGGATGGGGGAGTGGGGTGGAGATGGGTGGCTCGGGCGGGAATGCTTGGGGACGCGATTGGCGCGGGCTCTGACAGTCTCTGCGACTGCTATTTTGACTATCTGCTGCTGTGCAAGGGTGGCATTTCTCTCTTCGAATAAGTTTGTTTGGGTGTGAGTTCTGGTCTTCCCAGCGCAACCCCCCCCCCCCACAAAATACGTGGAAGAAAGTGTATGAGAGCCTCTTCTCCCCAAATCCAACCCAGCCCAGAGCCAGCTATCTCCAAAGACCTGATTTCACACCCTTCTGTTGCTGCTGGGGGCTCCAGCAGTGGCTACATTCCAGCAGTTTTAATCCGTTTTTTATTGTAGGACGCGCAGAGTTTACTCAGGGGCCGGGGCTGTGGGGGTCGCTCCCCAGCTGGCCGCTCTCCCCGCGTGCGCCCCCGCCTCGTCCGCCGCCCGTGCGCCCCCCACCTCGGGCAGGAACCTGTTACTTTAAGCGCCGCGCTCGGCGGCTCCGGGAGGCGGCCGCTGATTGGCTCTTTCGAGCTCCCCCTGGCTCGCTCGCTCGGCCTCCCCGCGCGCTCCGCCCCGCCCGCGCGCCCGCCCTCCGCCCCGTGAGGCTCGGAGCCCCGGTGTCAGGCGCCACGGCGCATGCTCCGGAATCTCATCTTCTGGCCCCGGAGCTGCTGCTCCTGCTGCTGCTGCTTTTGCTTTTGGGGCTGAGTTTAATAAGCGAGCGAGCGAGCGCGGGGTGGGGGAAAAAAGGCAGAGAATGTCCGCCATCTACCCTCCGCTCCCGGGCGCGCTCTCATTCATAGCAGCCTCTTCATGAATTACAGCTGAGAGGGGGCGGGGGAGGGGGGACCGCACAGCACCCCAGCAAAGCTCCCGGCCCCCAGGCATGGCTAACTCGGTAAGTACATGCAAAGATCATAATAAAAGCCCCCCCTCGCGCCCGCCCTCCCGCGCCCCGCGCCGCCGCCGCAGCCCAGACAGCGCCAGCGCTCCGCGGTTCCAATTAGAGAAAGGTTGGTACGGCTTGCAGGGAGCTGCCGCCTCTCCCCGCCCTCGCCCCCTCGCGGCGCGCACACACTCGCACACACACTCGCTCGCGCACACACACTCGCACACTCGCGCCGCCACCCCGCGCGCCCCCCGCCCTCCGCGCCTCTCCGTGCGATCGCAAGAAGCGCACTCACACACTCGCTCTCGCTCACACGCGCGCACTCGCACACACACTCGCCCTCGGTGGAAGGAGGCGGATAATAACTCAGCCATATTTCAGCCGCCGCCGCCGCCGGGAGCCGCGGGCGCAGTCCGGGGACGCGGCGAGCAGCCTCCGCGGCCGCACCTCCGCGAGGCGCCGCGGCCGGACCATGGTGCGTTGTCCGCGGCGCGCGTGCGAGCGGGAGTGTGCGGGCTGACAGCGGCGGGGAGCTCGCAACTTTGCCCCCCGCGCCGGGCGCTGCGCAGCCCTGCCTCGGCCCCGTCCGCCCGCCGCCTGCCTGCCTGGCGGCATTGGATTTTTGGGGGAAAGTGGGAGGTACTTTGGGGCCACTTTGGCTCTTGGAAGTGTGCGGCGGGGGCGCGGGGCTGTCCGTTGGCGGGGGGCTGCTGGCCGTGGGGTGCGGGGGGGCCCTCTAAGTTATGGATGGCTCGGCGTGTTTGCCCGCGGGCGCGCGTGTGTGTGTGTGTGTGTGTGTGTGTGTGTGTGTGTGACGACGTCCCATTTTTGTAGTGCGCGGCCCTGGGGCAGGAGCCCGGGAGTTTGTGCCCATCGGCACGGGCTGCCTGTAGTTTCCATTCCGCCTGGCACCGCGCTCCACACACACACACACACACACACGTACACAAAGACTTCCCGGCGTGTGCCTGTCGCCGCGGTACTTTCCGGGAGGGGGCTCGCCAGCACCCCCCCCCCCCGGTCCCCACGCCGGGAAACCGCCCCGGCATTGCTTCCTAATTGTCTTCTAATTTGTTTCCGATGCATTTGTTGTCGTGGTCGAGTGTGCTCTCCCTCCCCCGCCCCAGACCCCCTTCGCGGCCCGGTAACACGGGGGGTGACATTCCGTTACAACCGGCTGGGGTGGCCGCGGGGTCCAGGGCGGGGCGGCCCTCGGGGGTGCGAGGTGTGCGCGCCCACGCGCGTGGAACGTGGATACACTGGGCACCACCGTTTCCTTTTATGTGCGTTTCAAGGAGGAGAGAAAAAAAAAACAAACCCATGTCAGGCGCAATGTTGATCGCTGCTCCGGCGCCTTCCTGTTGTTCACGGCTGTCTCTCCTCCCCCTGCCCGCAGTGTGCCGTGCAGGTGAAGCTGGAGCTGGGGCACCGCGCCCTGGTGCGCAAGAAACCCACCGTGGAGGGATTCACCCACGACTGGATGGTGTTCGTGCGCGGCCCGGAGCACAGCAACATACAGCACTTTGTGGAGAAAGTCGTCTTCCACTTGCACGAAAGCTTTCCTAGGCCAAAAAGAGGTAGGGCTGGAATACAAAAGGGGCCTGATAAATAATGTCCCGGCTCGCGCTGGAGACAATTGCCTGGCCCCGCGTGCCCCCCGGGTCGCCCCTTGCGCCGCGCCGGCCTGCAGAGCCTGGGACCGGAGTGCGCGGCGCGGGTCTGGGCTCCTGCCCCGGAGCGCGCGCCTTTGGCCCGGTGAAAGTCACCGCAGAGAAAGGACCTTCAGGTGTTGAGTGTTTATTCATCCCCAGCCCAACCTCGCAGCTCCTCTGGGGTTAGCTGCGGGATCTGTGGGGAAGGTGCAATTAGTTGTTGGGGTTGGAGGTGTGGGGATTGGGGCTGGAGGCAGTAAGCAGCTTGTGCCCTTTTTCTATCCTAGAGGATATAAGAGTTACCTGTGTTGTTAACAAGGAATGCACTGGATGTAGTTATTGTTCCATCTCCTGAAGTCTGTTCTTTGCAGGGTCTTCTCTGTCCTCCTGCCTGTGTCACGGGAGCCAGTTGCCAGTTGCCATAGACTTTTGCTGTTAGACACCCCACCCCGACCCCAGTCTCTTCGTTGTTATGATTTAAAATTGGGAGGCTTACTGGCCTCTGGTCCTCAATGATACTTGATCGCATGCTGGATTCAGTGTGGGATTCCCAAGAGTCTGCCCAGTGTCATCTGCAGGCAAGAGGGTCCCTGGCAGGGTCGAAGCTAAGGTTCAGAGGTGCTGGGTGCCTTCTGCTTAGTCTTTTCCCACCTTGATTCTTGGGTCTGGTGTCCAATTTACATAGTCTTGTTCAGTCTCTGTGAGCCTTGAAGGGCAAGACCGTTTTGAGGGTTGGGAGGTGGGAGAAAGCAATGGATTGTCATTTGCAAAGGTATATTGAAGGTTTCAGACACCAGACATCCATTTCCCTCTATAATATCTGGGAAGCCACTGAGGGTCTTTTAGTTGGATTGGTGGAGGCAACAGTACAAATACAGTAAGGTGCTTTGTGAGCAGGTTTGTTTATCTAAGTGGACACAATGGTTAGTAATCTTCCATTTGATCTGTAATCTTTATTGGCATCTAGAACTCCTGCAGTTTCTTAGAGCAACATGATAATAAATCTGTTCTGCTTAGAGCTATGTGGAAATTATTGAACCTTCTAGAGCTGAATAAAGGAGAAATGATGTGTATGTATGAGAGGTGGCCAGGGATTTGTGCTAATGCTTATTTTTGTTTCCAGAGCTGGAGGAGTGGGAAGCACGAGTGTCTTTTTTTGCTTATTGTGGTTTGGTTTAGCACCCCCTCTTAAAAACTTGAACAGTTGAATTTGATGGGCTTTGTTGAGTGATTAATAAATGAGATTTATAAATGAGTGATCAATACATTAATCTATGAGAAGGTGGATTCTAGTAGGCATATGCATTACCTATAGGAGAGAAATGGGTATTTGTTAGCATTTTATGCAAACACATATGTATTTATATTTATATAAACATTCTACTTCATATTTTCTTAAAGCTGTGATAAAAATGAGCATGGTCAAGTTTCTGTCAATGTACAGGGTTGGAAATGATTCATCTCGAAATCTTTTTCCATGTGTTTGTAGAGCCACGGCAGAGGAGTTTAAACAAAAGAAACCACCTTTGAGATCCTTGGTATCCACAGTTACTACTGCTTGCCTGCTAGTCGTTTCGAGGTGAAATACAATTAATGGAAAAAGCAGTATTTATTGTGTTAGGAAAACCAACTCCTTTGGCAGAGAATGTTACTCTTTCAAGCAACTTTGCTTAGGCCCCTTTGCAGTCAAAATTGGTCTTATGACTGATGATGATCAAAAAGATAAGCAGTCCCTTGCATGTTTCTCAGCTGTCTCTGCTTTGATAGGTGTGTGTGGTGAGGTGCCCCTGCATTTCCCATAGTTAATGATTTTTCTGACCAGCCCCAGGGAGCCGGAGGGCGCTGCCCAGACAGTCCACACCTGGGAGTTGTTGCTAGGTGTGTAAGCCACTTGATAACAGTGATTTCTTCTCAGACATGTCTTGTGAGAGGCGTCTGCTTGCTGGTGGAACTCTTAGTTTTTATTCTCAACTGTGGAGTTTTTATGCAGCCTGTAAAGCCATTGTTTTAAAATGTTTATTTTTGGCTTTTTATTTGTATGTGTGCTTTCCATGATTTGACAAGTCCTGGGAAAAATGCCAGCTTGCTTAGCCCGGGAGAGACCTTGTCATACTGTAATTACACGTGAGTCAGATTGCAGGAGAGTGTTTCTCTCTGTTCGTTGGGAATAGGTGGTTGTAAGTTCAAGAAACACCAAACATAACCTCTTAATCTTGTAACTTACTTTTCAGTTTTATACAGTCTTTAGAAAGGATAAGAATAAGAATAGCAGATATGTCTAATTCTGTTTCTGTACCTTTTAAGGCACTGTATTTGCTATATTGTTGACCCACTCAAGATAGGGTAAAAAAACTGAAGAATCTGAAAGACATGCACATGTTTTGATGTAAACTAAGTAATAATGAATCTTAAGAGAAATCATACCATTACTCTTTGTCATTGAGTCTATTGTGGCTTATCGTGACCCAATAAAGTTTTCTAAAGCTGTGCACCTTTCTTTCATGGAGGACCTGATGGGTTTGAACCACCAACCTTTTAGTCAGCAGCTGACTACTTAACCACTGCACTGTTAGGGCAGTATGTCTATCAGCTTGTAAACAGAGGAACTAAGAATTGAGACAAGAATTGCTTACCTGGAAGGATGGATGAGTCTGCCATTTCATAATTCATTGGTTTAAAAAAGTGAATTGATTTTTCAGGTTGATTTCTGTTGCTTCACAGTGCTTTTTATGAGAATTTGTAGAGGAAGAAATGATACTATTTTCAACTTGTTCACTAATGAGAGTTACATATCCCATTTCAGAACTGAGTAAATTGGATTTGAATTAATGAGGTTTTTCTCTGCTACTCAGATGTATGGGAGAAAATCTTTGAAAAACTATATGATAGTCCTAGGAAAAAGACCTTGATGAAATAGTGACTTTCCATTATTACAGAATAAGCAGGTCTGAGTCGGATGAATTATTAAAACTATCTCCTAAACTATCTAAATGGTCAAGAAAGTCCATATCTTATTTATTAGTACCAGAGATGTGTAATAGTTTGATATGACTGAAGGGAATGGTGACAGGTAAAACGATTCTTTTAAAAATATTAATATTTTCATTTTCCGTTTGTGGGTTTGAGTGACCTTTCTTTCCAGTTACGTCTATGCTTAACTCTTGCAATCTGTTCTGTTGACATTTATGATAGAAAATCTGTTGCTTAATGCTCTGTGTTAGCTAGTTTGGCCACTGGTATGATTTGATAGCTTTTTATGTGAAGCCTTAATCCTTTAAGTGGTTAGATAAAGCCTAATAAATCAACACTTATAACTTTATTCTGATTCAAATATTTGAACCCAGCCTTAACTGAGTAGTTCTTATTTGTGTTTGGTGGGTCCGTGCACCTGGCATATTTTCTGTTGTGAGGTCCTTTAAAAAGCATGAAGGGAAGATGAGGATGGATGATTGTACCCCCATATTTAGTGAGTGCTGTAGAAGTTCTGTACTGCTGCTCTGTATGGTGTCGAGCGACCAGTGAGGGCTATTTTACTCCTTGGCATTTTGAAGAAACACACCCCAGTTTCCCCTGGCACTTAATAGCTAAACTAGTGGAGGGAGTTGCATGTGGCAGTGTGGGAATGTAAACTGTTTTTTGTGGAGCACATTTGGCAAAATTCATTACCATTTTTAATATTTATACACTTTGACCCAGATACTTCACTTGTAGACATTTTCCCACAGATACGGCTTCACATGTACTTAAAGATACAGCTTCTTTCTTGGGATTGCTTTTGTGGTAGTCAAATTTTGGAAGCATACCATTGGAGACTATAACTGGTTAATTTTAGTGTTGGTAACCTGTTTAAAAAAAAGAGGCAACTGTATTTAGAGTTTTGTAGATTTAAGAGACACTATGAAATGAACACAAATTGCTAAATTAATGTAATTCCATTTAAAACATGTTCATACTGTTAAAATTGTATATTTGTGTTTTTGTAGAAATTCTGAGATGGTGAACACTAAGAATTGTTCTTTTGTGGGTGCATGAGTTGTTAATGGTAATTTCTGTAGTGTTTGGTTTTTAAAATTATTCAGAACCGTACAATGAGCATGTGTTTTTAAGATGGAAAGACAGAGTAAAGACCAATACAGAATTTAACAAAGGGTTACTATGTTACTCTCTGAACTTGGTCTTAACCATTTTGGATAGATGCTATTACACTGTTGATTAAGGATGAGGAAGAGCTTGGTTTAGGGATTACAGATTTCACTTGGTTTCCTTGATTTCACTTAGGTTACTCCTGTGTTTATTTTCTTTTGTTAAAAGAATGATAATAGAAAGCTTCTGTTACTTTACAAATTGAGGATTAACTACAAATTAGTCATCTCAAAGCTATTTGTTATAAGATCGCTTTAACACCATTAACAATTGACTATCCCTGAAAGTTCTGTGTAAGTTATAACTATCTGTACTTACTGTTTTAGAAAGTAAAATAAGACACTTTAGTATGTACTTTATTAGGAATTAAAATAAGACACTCTAAACAAATTATTACTTTGTTTAAGAATCATTGGTTCATACTGACTCATAATAGTTTAATGAAAACTATTTCCTTAGGAAAAAAATGAGAATTACATTGTTTTACATTTTTGTGAATGTTTCAAATAGAAAACACCTGGGTTTTATATTTGCTTATGTTTTTTTCTGTTGTACACACCATGTAGCTTTAGGAAAACTCCGCTGTGCACTTATGAAAGAATGGGGAGGGGGAAGCAGCAAATAACTTTTTAAATTTGTTATGAAAACAGTTTTAACTTTGCCAATCCACCAGAAGGATCTGAACAACTTTACGACCCAGCCCCCTAACTTAACTGTGAGAACTTCAGTATTCAGCGTACTGTCTGACACACAAACTACGTAAGAAATGAAAATTGAATTCT